ATTCGGATATAAAAATTTAATAAAATGTTTAATTATTTTATGTTCAATTTAATAATATATTATAAGTAACTTAATTTTCTTCCAACTATTTTAAAGCTTAGCCCATTTTTTCTGATATCTTTATAATTTTATACGATCTTTTTCCATTTATTACAAAAGCTAAGTAATAAAAAACAGTCATCGCTTTGCAATCATTATAGTATAATTACTTTTTATTTTTTGCAACCAAATTGATATTGTATATTATAATAACGCAAATTTAAGCAGTATAATTGCGGATTAATGGTTTTATTGTATCTATCTAAATTAAAATATATGTCTGATGCAAGGATCGACAATTTTATTATAAATGGGAATGTTATCATACAGTTCTTATAAATTATGGTTTACGATTGTTTACGATTGGTTACGATACATGGTTTACGATTGTTACAATTATATTTCTATCATTAAATCAATTAAAAAGGGATATTTAAGTTTTGAGCACTGTTAAAGCTTCTGTATATTTTAAACCTTCTAAAATATAAGCTAAATTCTCGACCGACGCATCCTCATCCTCTTCTGCCCATATTTCGAGCATAGTCTTGCATTGTTCATATGGCGTTGTTTTGCTTTCGAAAAAAGCAATCTAAAATAGATATCGCATATGTTAAAAAATTTCATTATTAACCCGTTAAACCGTTAAATCATATTATAGTATTATAATTAAAAATTAAACGCCTATATACCTCCTCATTTGTATAACCAAATTTCGTCGCTAATTTTTTCCAATCGTTTTTCAGGCTTTCTGATAATTTTCCTACCATCTCTGGTGTAACTTTATTCAATTTTCTGGCTTTTATATCGGCGCTTTCGGAATCCTGCTCACTGTCCTGCTTCAAGACGTCTTCGTTAAATTCCTGATCATTAGATTCTGATGGTGGAGTTTCTTCGGTTTCCAGTTTTGTGTCAGACTGTGTTTGCTATGGAACACAGTCGCAAAAAAATCAAGATTAAATATATTTACAGGAAGATAATGAATATTGGATACTTACTGGACGATCCTTGGCAATTTTTTTTATCATTGTCTCAAGATATTCAGGCAATTTATTTATAGGATAATTGCCATGAACGAAGAAGTGTGGGCTTCGTCTTGCTAACAATCTTAATGCTCTCCAACCAAAATTACCATCATTCACTTTCCTGTATAGGAAATATACAAAAATGTTAAGAATTGCAATCAAAGCAGATACATGTAACAAGTATTTACTTGTATTTACTTGTATTTATCATCAACCATCGCAGCAGGATCCAGTTCCATAATGGCATCTTCAAAGTATGTTTCTAAAGATGGGAGGAAGTCTCTATCCTTTGATTTGCATGCTTCGAGATTGTTAGGACATAGATTCCACAATTTAGTAAGTTCTGGGCTATCGAGAAATAACGTAAATTTAATTATCTAGTCGCAACGCGTTGGAATACTAAAATTCTCTGATTCTTTCATACAGAAATATCTATTTACTTTCCCATATGATATTTGCCAACCGCTTGCGCATCCCTAATTACATCACCGATTCTTCGTTTCGGTCTCTTCGGTTTCCGTGGTTCTTCATCATTACCGACGTCCGACGCCGGTCTCTTGAATGGAGGACAACCCTCATTTTTCCACGCGTTCCAATGCTCCTCACGCTTTAAGATGTTTTTCACGGTCTCCGCAAACGCGGGTCCATCGGGCGGTGTTTCAGTCAATAGAGTGTAGACTTGTTCTGTGATAGTCTTCACCCATTCCACCTGATCTGGTTTGAGTTCATGTGTCTCACTTAAAAACGACAAACATCATAGTGCTTTGATAACGTACATCTCACGGGACATTTAATTTAAGAAAAGCAGACCTTGTCTCATAGCCACTGGCAAGGAAGCTTTGAAAAACAAACATTGTTTTATGACTATTCAGAAATATTGTACTAGTGTCATATTATTGAGCAATTTGTTAATTCAACAAAAGAAGAAAGCTTATGAATACATCAAAATATTTATTGCATTAGTGCATAAAATACTTACGCCTTGAATTTTACAGTGCTATTCAGATACTGGAAAAGAACGAGAAATTGCAGCAATACATATCGTCTGAAATTTGAGTCAGACAGCTGCAATTCTAATAATTTCTGATTAGTCAAATATTTTGCAAAGTAATGGGTTTCCTTGTGAGAACCTTCCATTGAAGAATCCATCTTTATACATGTTGTAGGATAACTACGCTGCTCCTCCAATTTAAA